CTCCTTTTCTGTGGAGTTGAGAGAAGCCTGCTCCTGGCTGCTGCGCACCCTACCCTGCCTGGCCAGCGTCTGGAGCTGGTGTCTCGTTCTCAGCTCCCATTGTCTATTGATCCACCTAGAACTCGTTTCCTTTCACCAATCCCTTCCTCTCTGAGCTCAGTCACTGTCCAGATTTTTCTGCAAAGCTCATGAGGCCCAGCTGGTGACTAAGACACCCAGAAAACTAGAGCACTCAGCAAAGTACAAGCTTTACACTGAAACTGAATGGACCCCAGATATCCCTTCTGGTTAATTTGTTCAAGCCGTGAAATTTTTTTTTTCCTGTTTGTCTTTTTTAATGACCGGTAACGGGATCGCAACCCTCGGTGTTGTGCCCGCACTGCGCTCAGCCAGTGAGCGGGAACCAGTCTCCACATGGGATCCGAACCCTCGGCGGGAGCGCCGCCACGCTCCCAAGCAGCGCACTCTCCAGTGCGCCACCGGGCCAGCCCCAAGCCGTGAAACTTTGAGGTCAATTTTTGACCCAGGAAAGCTCTGAAAATGAAAGTATAGCCAGCCATGCCCACATGGCCAGAGAATCCAAATCATGGCTGCCATTTACAAGGTCATCTCTAGAACCAACCAACTGTAAGAGAAGCAAAACATCTCCTCTTTCCAGTGGTTCAGATAGTCCTACTTTATTGTGTCCCCAAGAGGGAAGCTCTAAGTAAAGACAAGATTTATTCCAACAACATAGTCCAACATACGTATAATGCTGTATTCCCTTCTGTTTTGGGTTTAATGTGTTCCCCAAAAGTTCATGTATTGGAGACTGGACCCCCATAGTAAAAGTGTTAAGAGGATGGGAAATCTGATTATGGAATTTGAAAGGTGGGGTGTTGGAGAGGTGATTAGATTGTGAGGGCTGTGCCCTCATGGATAGATTGATCCATTCATGGAGTGATGGGCATGGATCTGATGGCTTTAAAGGCTCACCATGTGATACCCTCGTCTTCATAGGACCCTGTAGAGAGTTCCTCCCCAGAGAAGGCCCCCACCAGATGTACCCCCTGAATTGTGGACTTCCCAGCCTCCAAAACTGTAAGAAACAAATTTCATTTCTTTATAAATTACCCGGTTTCAGGTATTCTGTTATAAGCAACAGAAAATGGACTAATACGCTTTCTCTCCAAGTTCATGGGAATGTCATAATGATTTCCTCAGAAATTTTTTAGGGGAGAAAAACTCTTTGATGAACATTTGAAGAGGTTGCTTAATATTAGAACAGGATGAACAGTCCACTTGCCCACTTCCTTTGCTGGCCCCACTCAGGGAATAACAAATGGCACTGAGCTATGACCACAGGATGCCCCTGCCAGGGGCCTGCCTGCAATGTCTTCCTGGTGCTGACAGGAGGTGCAGAGTTTGCTCTTCATCCTGGGTGGGTTTCAGCAGCACACACCTGAAACGCCATGGCCTTGACGCTTCACTCTGAGGTTGAGTCAAGTCCGTTCTGGGGCACGCTGGGAAAAAGACTACACCAGGTTGTGCTCATTCTCGCAGCAGGGACACCACCTTAGTGCATTAATTCTAATTTGCTTAGATGCTCAGAATAGGCTTAGGTAAAAAGCATTTGCTCCTTAGAACCATTATGGGTTGTCTTCTAAATCTAGAGAACCAGCAGTCTTCTGCAACTGACTGCAGCCACACTGGGAGATGCCAAGGACCCTGGGCCACACCGGGGTGCTTCTTTAGTGGGATTCCATGAAGAGGAAGGATGGTGTGGAGTAAGTGGATTCTCGTGATGAGCTTTTCCCTACCTGAGGAAACTAAAGACTAATATGACACTCTTGGATGCATAATCAGAGTCCCATTAAATCCTGACAAGTATCTTTAAGTGCTGTAGACAGTTTGCTCACTGCACCTACAGAATGTCATGATACAGCAGACTCCCGTGTCTGGGGTTTCACTTTCTGCAGTTTCACTTACCCATGGTACAGGACGAGATACGTATTAGAGAGAGAGAGAGAGCGAGAGAGAGAGAGAGCGAGAGAGAGAGAGAGAGAGAGAGAGAGAGAGCGAGAGAGAGAGAGAGCGAGAGAGAGAGAGAGCGAGAGAGAGAGAGAGCGAGAGAGAGAGAGAGCGAGAGAGAGAGAGAGCGAGAGAGAGAGAGAGCGAGAGAGAGAGAGAGCGAGAGAGAGAGAGAGCGAGAGAGAGAGAGAGCGAGAGAGAGAGAGAGCGAGAGAGAGAGAGAGCGAGAGAGAGAGAGAGCGAGAGAGAGAGAGAGCGAGAGAGAGAGAGAGCGAGAGAGAGAGAGAGCGAGAGAGAGAGAGAGCGAGAGAGAGAGAGAGCGAGAGAGAGAGAGAGCGAGAGAGAGAGAGAGCGAGAGAGAGAGAGAGCGAGAGAGAGAGAGAGAGAATATTCACATAATTTTTATTACAGCATATTGTTATAATTGATCGATTTTATTGTTAGTTATTGTTGTTAATCTCTTACTGTGTCTAATTGATAAATTAAACTTATCATAGATATGCATGCATAAGAAAATACATAGTGTAGATAGGGTTTGGTACTATCTGCAGTTTTAGGCATCCACTGGGGGTCTTGTAATGTATCCCATGAGAATAAGGGGGGACTACTATATTTGCTCTAAGAAAAATGGTTTATTTCATAAATGGAGTTGGCATTTCCAATACATTTTGTTTCTATTTTCCTTTACATTTGGGCAGGCATGCTGGCATGTGAATAGTTGGGGCCACCCTGGTGATCTCCTGTCTAGTGCTCATGATCTGATTGATTTATTCATTGGCCTCTTTGCTTTCAGCAAAGACTGGAACTGAGTGGAGGCTGATTAGATGCTAGCACTGCCTCAGGCAGGCCGTGGGGCCTGGATGCTCACCAGGGTCACAAACAACACCAGATGACATCCAGAGAGGCTGCACAGGAATTGAAAAGCCGAGGGCAAGAGGCCGACTCCTCTACCAACTACTACTTCCCTTGTGGGTGGCTGATGAGAGAAGAAATAATTTGATCAAGGAGAGGGCTTGTGTGTCCTCCCTGCCCTGCCCTTGGAAATGGTCTCAGACGGGACATTTCCACCTGTTAGAAGCAGGTAGATGCTGCTCTGCTGGTTGTCAAGAAATGGTTCCCAAGCAACACATTTCCTTCCATGTGTCCTTTCACCTGGTTATTGCGATTAAGCAAACAGCTCTGGGTTTATCATCTCAGCTCAGCTTCCCTAAAGTATAGCAGAAATGGAATGCATCAGCAAAAGCCAGGACAGGCAACCATTCTGAGTAGCAAAGAGTTATGAAGAGTGTCAGTCTTGCTGTTATGCCCACACACAGGAGGGAGAGAAGTTCCCTCTGTGTTCCTGCAGACCCACAGAGAAAACAAGCCTTCAATGAACATTTGCAAAACACACACACACACAGACTCTGATTGCTTCTTTAAGTATCTACTGTTCAGTGCTCTTCAAACTTGAACATGCTCACAAATCACAAGGGCATCTTGTTAAAATGCAACTCTGCTGCAGAAGATCTTGGACGGGTTAGGTTAGGGGCCAGAGAAGAGTCGCTCCGCATTTCTAACAAGCTCCCAGGTGATACTGATGCTGCTGCTTCCACAGCTAGACTTTGAGTAGCAAGGAACTCCACACTGCATTCTATTTAGTTGTTTACATTGAACTTGATGTGTCTATTTTATTGGTAACCATCATGTACAGTGGTCCCCCTTTTCCTCAGGGGGTACATTCCAAGACCCTCAGTGGATACCTGAACAATGGATAGTGCTAAACCCTATATATACTATGTGTTTTCCTGTACATACTCTACCTATGCAAAGTTTAATTTATAAGTTAGGCACAGTAAGAGATTAACAACAATAACTAACAATAAAACAGAAAATTATAACAATATGCCAGCCTCACCACTCCAGTGCTTTGGGGCCATTATTAAGTAAAAGGGGGTCACTTGAACATGAACACTGTGATACTGTGACTGCTGATCTGATGACTGAGATGGCTGCTCAGTGACTAAATGGGCGGGGGGTGTGTACAGCGTGGATGCATGACATGAAGGGATGATTCACGTCCTGGGTAGGACAGAGCAGGAAAGCATGAGATTTCAGCATGTTACTCAGAATGGCTCGCAATTCAGTACTGATGAATTGCTTATGTCTGGAACTTTTCATTTAATATTTTCACACCACAGTTGATCACGAGTTACTGAAACCATGAAAAACGAAATACAGACAAGGAAGAAGCGCTGTATGACGAATTGGCTGGGTTAGACATACTACTCAACCTGTGTCCAGTAATTGGACAATTCCTGTTTAATAACTGCACCTTACACTCATTTATGTGGGGCTTTCTTTTCATCTTGCACCATAGTAGAAAACTTGCTTTCTCGCAGCAGATCAAGTGTGAGTTTACAGTGAAATCAAAGGCTGGTTTTCGATTTGAGGCTGTTCTGTTGACCGCCACCACACCACCGACGTGCACCCGTGACAGGCGGAAGGGGAGGACGTCAGGAAACATTATTTGCTTTTTCAGTTCTTTATGTACACTAGACAAAAGTTGATATATCTTTTTAAATTCCAGGTTATTTCATAGAGGCTGAGTGGAAAAATGGATACAGATAGTCCTTGATTTATGATGAGATTGCATCCTGATAAACCCAGCATTAAATTGAAAATATCAAAGTCAAAAATGCATTTAATACACTTACCCTACCAAACGTCATAGTTGAGCCTAGCCCTTAAATGTGCTAAGAACACCTACATTAGCCTACAGTTGGGCAAAATCATCTAACGCAAAGCCTATTTTATAACAAAGTGCTGAATATCTCATGCAATCTACTGAATACTGAGAGTGAAAACCAGATGGTTGTCTGAATACTCGAAGTAAAAGTTCTACTGAATTTGTATCGCTTTTGCACTATCGTAAAGTTAAAAAATCATCAAGTCGAGCCCGCGTAAGTTGGACACCATCTGTACAAATGTGCTGTGTCCATTTTATTTACCTGGTTATGTTTGATGTCTTCAGCGGGCGCACCATATGAATTCCTATACAAAGTTGAAATTCCAGTGTTTTGAGCTAAAAGTAAAAGGAAAACAAAAGTATGAGGAAAGAAAGCAAGATTTCAAATTAGGAATAAAGGTTATTGAGGCAAGTTCTTGCCCAAACAAAGCTTGGTTTCTCATGGACCGTTCCAAGTAGAAGGAATTCTTTGGCTCTGAGTACTTCATTGTACCTACAGATATTAAGAAAAGAACGGTTATTCTATAAAATCCCGACAGCATGTCAGCCTCCTGCAATAATGTTCACGTTGCAGACTGGGTCTGGGCAGGTGTGGCAAACAGATGGTCATCTTGCAAGTTTTATTGCCTTCTTTTTTGTGAAAACTGGTGGATAATAAAAGCTTGTCACCTGCACTGAAGCATGCAGCAGTCTGTATCAGCAGGTTAGTTTTTAGTTGGAAAGTGACAAGAATAAAATTTCCAATTTGAGCTCACAGAAATGCTCGACCATCTTTCAGACAGTTCATTTCTCAAAGGCCCAGAGGACAGGCAGAGAGCACACCTGAATTTCCCCTGCGCACCTGGAAGCTCCAGCCTTGGATCCTGTTAGATGCAGAGACAGGCGTCCCCACTCTGTCTTCTGGCCACCTGGTCTAGTTGAAGGGAAGGGAGGATGGTCTCCTCCAAGTGCCAGCAGCTTCCAAAGGTCTGTAAAGCCTGTTTTACCACTTCCTCACCTGGAGCCCTTGAGGCTTCACACCGCAGGCCGAGAGGATGGGCACAGGGCACCCCTCCCCTATAGCTGCTGACAGGTCACGGTTTAAGAAAGTTCTGGAAAACTGTGTATTTCAAGTGTCAGCAGGAGTATAAAACACTGTAGAAGTAAGATGGGCTTATTCTCTCCCTCCAGTATCCAAGGGGTAGTGAAATAGTATCACAGCCCACTTGTTCTCTCCAAGAGACAAGGCCACCATAGACACAAGGTCAATGCAACCTATCAAGGTTTAAGTTCACTCCTCCCATGGGTATCACCTAAAAGCATATAATAACTGTGCAATAAAACTCCTCTTGGAAAGTTCTGTTCAGGAAGTGAAGGCTGAGAGCCCATTTTCCATTTTAAAGACCACTCTGCTAGCCTCTGGTTGAATGCACCTCACGCCTGTCTCTGTATTTTTGTGAAAACCACCATCTCTTTCCTGGACCACTGCTACTGAGTCCTCCTTGACAGTCCAACTTCCACCCTGCCCTGTCCCGCTCATTGGGCAAGCCTGTCCCCAACAGCCAGAATGATCACTTCGTTACACAAATTGGATTACACCACTCCCTCTGTTTATAAGACTCCAAAGCCCTTTCCACGGAGACTGTGGTGAAACCCAGGCTCTCCATTGCAGTCTGTGATCTGGTGCTTGCCTAACCTTCCACGGCATTTCTCAGCCCTCTTCTCTTGCTAAGGGGGCCCTAGCTCTGCTGGCCTTTCCTTGATCAAGTCTGCCAAGCTGGGTTAGCTTAGGGAGGCTGGACTTACTGATCTTTCTTCCTGGAATTCGTCCCCCACAGACTTTGCACTGGCTGCTTCCTTGTTAGTGTTGAGGTTTCAGCTCAAATGTCTCCCTACTCCTGGACCATTTCAGGTAGAGTAACCCCTCCCTCTGGCACCCTCCACCTCATTACCCTGCTTACTTCTGTCCTCCTCCTCAACACCACGCGACATTACCTTGGGGGTGAACTTGTTCTATTGTTTACCTTGCGTGCTGCCTGGCTTTGGCCACTGGAGCAGAACTCCACGAGGACAGGGATGGTTTGTCCTGTGTCCGTTCTTGTAAATATCCCCAGAGCTGGGGACAGAGCCTGCCTGAGTGGACACTCATAGAGTGAGTTCTTTATTTGCTGAGTGAATTAATGAATGAATAAGTGAATGAGTAAACCTTAGATAAATCTGCCTTCAGAGCTATATATAATTGCTCATGGCAGATGTCGCCTCAAGGACAAGATGAAATTTTGTGTGTTTTTTTTGTCGTTGTTGCTCAGAATAAAATGCATTTTGGGGGGGGAGTAGAATATTTATACTATTATAGTCTTCCTTCCCTTCCTGCTGCGTTTGTGGCTTCTGAGCTAAAGATGTTTCTTCTGGAAGTTTTTTCCTTGACTCTTCGGACCACTTACCTTTTCAAAGGAGACTGCAGTTGAGATTGAACTACCTTTGCAAACACACGAAGCAGAGGTCTTCACAGATGTTCTGCTCTGCATGTCTGAGCTAAGAGTAGACTTACAGTAAATGACTTTCTTTTTTTGTATTGGTCCCCAAACTCCCATTTCCAACTGAATCAACATATCGAACATTAGAACAGCTTTAAAAGACCTAAGAGAGACACTAACAAAAACAGAATAGACCATTTGACAAAAAGGCGTTTTGGAAGCTTAGACGGGAGGGCAGAAGCCCCTGCTGAACTTAAAAGTCAGGCCGTGTAGCTGCTGGGATCACGCACCCCCAACCCCACTCCTGCCCCCAAGTGCGCTTCTGAACACGGGAGGCTCCTGGGTAACCGCAACCACAAGAAAGAGCTGTCAGAGTCCACCGTGCCTGCATGAACAGCTGACTTTGGCTTTCTGAGGGCTCCTCGGTGGCAGAGAAACACAGAGAGAAGAGGTTTTAAGAGACTTCGTTCAAAATAGAAAATGAATCCAGAAAAAGAGGGCGAGGGGGAGCACAGAATAAAAACCTAGATGGATCTTAATATCTAGGAGGTAAGCAGAGATTGTGCACCACAGTCAGAAACTGCTTTCACCTTAAGCTTTCACATGTTGTGTTTTGAGGGTGAAGCTTCCTACGTTTTTACAGTAAAGGGACTGTTTCCTAGGCGGGGAACGGTAGGATGTCACCTGATGCCTTACAACAAGGAAGATGGAAGTTTTTCAGATACCTTTCAATGCACTAAGATTTAAGTGATGTGTCCCCTGGATTTATTTTATTTAAAAAAAATTTTTTAATGGAATGCTTCATGAATTTTCATGTCAGCCTTGCTCAGGGGCCATGCTTGTTGTCTCTGTATCAGTTCAATTTTAGTACACGTGCTGCTGAAGTGAGCACCCAAGATTTATTCTTGAACAAGAAAATGTATTGTTTTTGGTGTACAGGCCACAAGAAATCTGATTTTGCAAGTAAACCCTGGAATGATGGGCATTTGCTAACTAATGTACTGTAGAGCATAGGTTGGAAATGCAACCTTTCAATTCCTATACGAAATATTGGCTACCACCTGGCTTGGCTGGGGATTTATTCATAACAATATTGAAAGTGACAAACAGCAACATCATCCTCACCACCACTACCTCCACCTACACTATCACCACCCTGACCAACACCATCGCTTCCACCTCTACCATTATTACCACCATCACCACTATCACCCCAACCCATCCCACCATCACCACCTTGACCAGCACCATTGCTTCCACCACCCTCAGCACCACCCTCAACACCATCGTCCTCAGCACCATCGTCCTCATCACCATAATCTTCACCACCATCATCTTCAATCCATCACCCTCACCACCATCATCTTCACCACCATCGCCCTCACCACCATCGCCCTCACCACCATCATCTTCACCACCATCATTTTCAACACCATTGTCCTCACCACCATTGTCTTCAACACTATTGTCTTCACCACCATTGTCTTCAACACCTTCACCACCATCGTCCTCACCACCATCATCTTCAACACCACTGTCCTGACCACCATTGTCCTGACCACCATCATCTTCACCACCATCACCCTCACCACCGTCATCTTCACCACCATCATCTTCAACATCATCACCCTCACCACCATCATCTTCAACACCATCGCCCTCACTACCATCATCCTCACAACCATCATCCTCAACACCATCACCCTCACAACCATCATCCTCAACACCATCACCCTCACAACCATCATCCTCAACACCATCACCCTCACCACCATCATCTTCAACAACATCGCCCTCACTACCATCATCCTCAACACCATCACCCTCACAACCATCATCTTCACCACCATCATTTTCAACACCATCGCCCTCACTGCCATCATCCTCACAACCATCATCCTCAACACCATCACCCTCACAACCATCATCTTCAACACCATCATTTTCAACACCATCGCCCTCACTGCCATCATCCTCACAACCATCATCCTCAACACCATCACCCTAAACACCACCTCCACTCTGACCAAACTATCACTTCGACTACCACCACTACTATTTCTGTAATAATAACTAATTTTACACAGCACTCATTAGCTTGAGAGGAACTTTTCTATCTTAACATATTATTCAGTAAAGATCTCAATGTTCTTCTCGACTTTCCACAAGATTGATAATGAAGTTTTGAATTGCATTTGTAAGAATGTTACAGCAAAGCTGTTTAAGCCTCTAAATAACTTTGAAGAATAACACATATCTCAACATTGGAGTTGTCAAGATCCCTGCAATTTTCTAGTAAAATTAAACATCAGAAACATATTAGATTTTATTTTTTATTTTATGATGTGTGCAGAGCACAATCATGTACCACTGGAACTATTTCAACATAAACACACCCACATTTGAAAGCCTTTTGAGTGATTCTACCAGACAAGAGAGTTAATGAAAACCCTAACCTTAAACAATAGTAATGGAGCCAATCTCAAAATTATTCTCATAACTAAAAATCTCAATTTTTTTCCTGAGACTGCTGGTGATGTGGCTACCTAGGGAAATTATAATTGCAAAATGAATGGGTCAGGTGAATTTGGTATCACTAGTATTTCAGAGTAATCAGTACAAATTAGATTTAACACTGAATGTCCCCACTCCAGGAACTCAGCATTCAAATCATAACTTTCTTTGTTCATGTCCTTCTACGACTGGGGCAATATTTACGGGGGAAAAACAGTGAATGAGTATCAGAAGTTATGGCCCATGTGATGAGTTCAGTTCTCCCATTCAGAAGACGTTTCAGGAGCAAGGATGAGATATTCCCTGTTACAGTCCACACATGGAGGTAGATGAGGACCGGGAGCGGGGAAGTGGGTATCAAAAACATCCGTTTATTATGCTTTTCTTCATGCAGCTGTGCAGCATTAACACGAGAAACACTGCCGCTGGGGTAAACACATTTGCTATTAGAAAAATTTATCTTAGCTGCCCTGGGTTTGGAAGACATTTTAATAAATCATCTAATTTGTCTATTCTGCTTCCCTGCAGGTTTATGCCTACATAATACCACAGAACCCTGCCTGATGCTTTTACGTTTCCTCTGATAAGAGGGTCTCAGCATCTGTTTAGGATTTTGCCCTTTGCACCCCAGTTTTATTAATTATCTAATCTGACCTTATTCTATTAAAGTCCTATTTTTCATGACCTGTTTTTAGCAGGGAACCATCTCCACATCCATGCAGCAAAGAAGGGTGCGGGGTCCCTTGTTAGAGGCCTCATGGTTCTGGCAGCTCTGCTTTTAAGGTATAATCCTCTCTACGGCAATATCCCCAAGTCCTGCTCCTTGGAAGAGGGGCCATATAGGGAGAGGGAGGGATATGAAGAGACTGGAGGGGGTCATGAATGCTCCGAGGAGAATTGTGCAGAGTATGAGACAAATTAAGGTCAAGCCTGGTTATCAGACAGGCAGGGCATACTAGAGACAGTAGCTAACAGGCACCAATTTTGGCCTCCACAGAGTCCCAGCTGATGAGAAAGGAAAGAAAACGGGCATGACTGAGACAGTGAGGGATAAAGGACATGGAAGATGGATGCCTCCTTAGGAAAATTGTGGTCATCAGTTCTAATGAAGCTTCTTGGGAGTTAGTCATAGTAAGAGATTAGCATTATGGTAAGAGGTTGGTGTCATGGCAAGAGGAGAAAATATCTCAACAGGAGTTCTGTGGGGCTCCCTTCAATCCTCTTCCTTTACTCCCCTCCTTTCCCCTTCTTATCCTCTTTCTGTTGCCTTCTTTCCCAATGGGCAAAGCTGGGCCATACTGTACCCACGATCTTGGAATTCCCTCCAACGTGAGTTATGCCAACAAAGAAGAAATCTATGGAGACCCCTGTCTCTAATGTGAGGGAGTATGATGAGCTGGGCAAGCAAGAAGGAAAGAAGGAAATAAGGTGTGTGTAGAACACATTTTCTCCTAGCTCTTTTCTGGAGTGAGATGCTCGCTTTTCATACCTCTTGCTGAGTCTCTTCATTTCCAATTCCCGGGAATTGTGGCTCTCAAGATCTCTAGTGACCTGACAGCTACTAAGTCCTGCTGAGCTGCAAGCAGCACTGTGACGCGTGACATCTCAGCCCCCTGCCCGGTCCCAGGTCGGGTCACCAGCTCTGAGGAGGGAGTGCGCGAGCTGAGCTCACCTGACATGGCGTCTTTCCTGGAAGTGTGTTCGCCTTTACTTCCGTGGTAAGTGGCATTGCTGCCGGTGGACTCATAGTCTGTTTTCCTTTCTTTGAGGCTGATCATTTCCCGAGGTGAAGCTGGGGCACTTGCTACATAAAGAAATCAAAAGGATGATTTTCTGTGTCTCATTCCATAGCATGTACACCTTTTCACAGAAACAGCTAAGGTCATAAATATATGTGGCTCAACATATGTCAATATGTATGCATGGACCTGTTGGGTTTTTGTAGCTTTGGCTCTTGTCCTTATCCTCTTCCTGCACCCAATGACAACTTTATAGTAAAAGGGGTAGGTGACTTGGAGGCAGGCAATCAAAAACTACCTCCTGCAGCCATCTTCCTCAGAGAGAGATCCGGGCAGGGACTTGACGGGCCCAAAGTGTATCTGGCAGTTTTAAGAATGAGACCGTCTTGGTTCCTTCCTTCCTTCCTTTATTTCTATCTCTTTCCCTTTCCCTTTCCCTCCCTCCCTTCTTCTTTCCTTCCTCCCTTCCTTCCTCAGCCTCTCTTACTCCCTCTCTTTCTCTTTGAATTAGATGTTTCAGAGGAGCTATCACTGATACCAAAGAATCCCGATTAAAATACAGTTTTGCTTAAACACTGAGTCACCCAGAAACTGCCCTAAAGGAGGGCAGAGGAAACAAATCCCCACACAGGATGATTTGTGGGGCTGAATTAACCAACCCCCTGAAGGTCTTCTCCATCAGATGCTGGGGTGGGCTGGGGTGGGCTGGGGGCAGGGTGTGAAGGGCGCTCCTTTTCCTGTTAGGACACCCTTGCTCTCGCTCTTTGGATGAACGCCCCACAATCTCTCACACCCACCTTATATGCACTGCCTGTCGGACCTGGGAATGAGCCCTGCCTTCCTTGGGTTGTAACTGGAAGACCCTCCTGGGAAATTCCATGAGTCTTTAACAAGACTCCTGGTACCAGAAACAGGAAAAGCGAACTTGTAGGCAAGGAAGTGAACAAAAAGCAGTGTGATTTTCCTAAAAGACTGAACAGACTGGTGGCAGCGAAGCAACCCTGCTGATGCAGAAGTGTGCTGGGAGAAGTGGAGTGTGAGCAGGGCGTCCTGGTGATGAGGTGCTGGTCCTGCCCCCCAGCCCCTGGGTCATCCTCAGTTGCGTTGAACCCAATACGAGCTCATGTGTGGAGCCCTTCTGTCCCCAAGCTTTCCCCAGTTTCCTGTACCCTGGGGCAGTGCTTCAGAGCTTGCTTAACCTTAAGACCCTCCTGAGAATTTAGAGATTCGAGGACTCCACCTCAGACATTTTGAGTCTAAATTTTCAGTGGAGGGGCCTCAGAATCCATATTTAACAAGCACAGCTGGTGTTTATTGAGGCTAGGAATCCCTGGGGAACTCTGATTTTTAGGATAAAGGCTTCTTTCCTTTGCTAGTGTCCAAGCCCCTCACCAGGCAAGCCTCATTTTACCTTTCAGCTCATCGTTCACACCTTCTGCAGGATCCCTCAGCTCCAGCCCAGTGGGCTGCTTCTTCCCTGAACGCACCTCTGTTTTTACTGCCTGAGTCACTTCATTCTGTTTGTCAGTCTTCTATGTACAAGTCCCTAGGCTAGCCACAGTAGGAGACAGAAACATGAACCATGTTGCTCTTCCTGAACTTGAGGAGCTCTCAGTCAAGTCAAGAAATGGATGTGCAAATAAACTAGAATCAGAGGCAGAAATGCTAGAGAAGTCACAGCCAAATGCTGGGAAAGGAAGCAGAGGGAGTCTTCGCCTGTTCTTTTCGCATTTCTGGGAAGGCCCTTGACCCACCTTTCAGAGCTATCGAAATAAAATCAAGGCTCACTGCTCAGGTTGAAGCCCTCCAAGGTTTCCAGTCCTGGCTGTCCATTAGAATCAATTACCTAGAATCCTTTAAAAAATACCGATGCCTGAGCCCCACCCAACACCAGTTGGGCCAGAAGCTCTGGGTGTAAGTCCGATGGGCAGACAGAGAAGAAAACAATGCCAGCTCCAGCAGCTGCCTTGCTTGCACATAGGGTGAGCCTGGAATCCTGCTGATCTGATCCAGTGCTGCATCTCCCTGCAACACTGTGAGCCTGTGCAAGCAGAGAAGGAAACGCCCAAGCTCTGATGCTGGGGAAGAGAGGCTGGCCAGGAGGAGAGGACAGAAAAGGCCTTGGGACACGGGACACTTTTGCTCCTGATGGGGGATCTGAGGGATGTAAGGGGCGGCCACTGCATCTTGTTAAGAGTTGGGATTTGGGCGGAACCTCCGCAAGGACAACTGGGGACTTAACAAGCCTTGTAACCCAGTGGGCTTCTGTGCCCAGCTCCTGCCTGCGCTCAGGACATCAGCTGTGGGGCCTCGCTCCCCTCCTCCACTCTCAGCCCCCTTTTCTGTCTTCGGCTCAGCACCTCTCTCTCCCACGAGACTCCCTTTTCCTGCCCTTGCTCCCTTGCTTCTGGGTCTTCCTGCATACAGGCTGGCCTTTTATGAGTCACTGCCATGCGACCATGAAAGGACAATATTTTGGAGCCTCTTGACCAAAGCTTTTGAAATGAGAGTCTAATATTGCACAGATGGTGGTGTTTATTAAACTACATCAAGTGTGTAATTACCTCCTGAGACTCTGCACGCAGTGGTGCTCTGAGTCTCCGGTACGTCAGGACTAAGCTCTGGGAAAAATCAAATCACACAGACAGGTGTTTATTAGGTGTCTCGATGTGCCTGGCCTAGGAAACAGCAAAGCTGCGTGCTAGCTGGGCAGCCGGAGGTCAGCAGCCCCACCTGCCCCTGAGAGGGCTGCTTCTCTGTCCCAGCGCCTTCCCATCTATCTCATCCTTCCATCTTCCTAACCCAGATCTGCTCACTGTAGTTCTCAATCATTAGAGCTTTTAAAAAGACACCACCCATGTGCTTGCCACACTCAGTGCTCTTTATTTTTTTCAGCCTGCTAGAATTATGGAAATAGAAGGCATCTCTGTGCTTCTGGGATATGTAGAAGTTTCCCCAGCCACATGGGGGTTTCTGATTCTCATCTAGGGTTGGACTAAACATTACAAGCAACAACGACACACTGCAAATGCAAGTTTTCATGGGGCTGGGAGAGGGCAATTTATTTCTGTCAAATATTCCTCATTCATTTTTTATTTTTCTCATCATTCTGACAGTGCAGTACAGTGTAAAGTGGCACGACAGTCGTCCCCAGGGGCAGGATGTCTTCTCCACTGGGCAATGCCCTCTGCTGGGCCCTCCAAGAGGCCATTTCAGAAAATATGATTTGCTCAGCTGGGGGACGGCAGGGAAGGGTAAGGAGAAAGTTTTTGTAAATAGAAGCCGATGCAGCTGTGTCTGTGCGAGTGCACACATTTATCCATCTTTCATTCTCAGAACAAAAATGAAAATGCAGAAACCAAAAGTTTTAAAAACTTACACTTTGAGTAAAGCAACAGTAAAAGCCACACCACTTATATTACTAAACAAAGTGTTCATATTTTGCCTTTCATTTTTTCCCTCTGATCTTTGGCATTACTTAATGTGACTGAAAAGGGGGTGAAATGAAGTATTTTTACAAGTAAGTAAAAGAAGTAAGCTCAAAATTTAAGGTAGGAATGTGACAGAATTGGAAAAAATATCATATGAATTACTACAAATTATGGTTGGTAACAGTAAGAATTTATCAGTGATTTATCTGCCGGTCGATAAGTAATAATAAAAGCTAACCGGATATGGAATAGTAGTTATGAAACCCTCAATGAAACATGTCATATGTATGTCACACTTCAGGAAGAAACAGCACATCTCTCCTCTACTCTGTTCTCCCAAATATAATACAGAAAATTCAACTCGAACTATTTTATGTTGGAAAAACTGTCCAGAGAAAACCCTGGTTTGCAAACTCTTGATGGTTTTCCATACACTGTTCCTCACTGAATGGAGGCCCGTGACATGAGTGTCATGCACAGGAATCCTGTTAGAGAGATTCAGGAACCTGCTAGAGAGAGGGACTTGCTGTGAGTCTGGGTACACCAACTCGTGGCCACGGCAATGAGGAGAAAAGAGATCCATGTCCCGTTCCTGGCAGAGGTCTGAATGGGGACAGCTCGCCTCTGTGTGGGTCGGAAGGGACTTGGAATAAAGGCCTTTGCTCAAAGGGAAGGACAGGCCTGGCTGTCTCTCGGGGCCTCTTACCTGAGCGGTTGTTGGGAGACACGCGCACGGGCGAGATGGAGGGCGTGCGGGAGGACGAGTAGGGCCTTTGCCGATCCCTCTCGATGGTTGAAGACGAGGCTACAAAGTGATACTGTGACCACCCGTCCTGCAAAAGACAGCGTGCTCCTATTAACGGGGAAAGCACAGCGATTCTCCACCTGCTGACATCTCCAAGTTCCCAGCACTAGAATTTGCAAAACATGTCTACCGTATGTCAGCAGAGATTACGGAGCTACAGAGCTCCAAACCATTGTCAAGGTCAGCAGAGATGAGTGTGAATCAAGACACACCTCGCCTCCAGACAGCCTGGCGGGTGGCAGGGCCTGCTTTCAGCAGCTGCTTTCCTTTCTAAGTGTTGAATAAATGGTCTCTTTGCAAACTTGCTTTGGCCAGAAGCTTTTATTTAAATGCAAATATGATGCTCATAATGTTAGATGGCCCTGCAACTGTCCATCCTTTGCCTACCTGGCTCTGGTTCTGCCTGGCCCCCTTTTCAAGGGCCTCGATATCTTCCCAGAGTGTTTACTCTTTTGCTCCCAGGACCAATCTGTTAGCAATCAGAAGACCAGGCGGGATCCTCTCTTCCCATTTATCTGCCTTTCGTCGTCATTCCCAACCTCCTTCTCTGCCACCAGTGCCCACCCCCGCCCGTCTCAAGGGGTTCTGCACGGCTGTGGCTGAAGCTAAGTACTCACATCTGGACTGTATATTCTCTGGGTAGCCCCAGAAATTACATTTCTTAATCTAGAGTATATTCAAAAATGCATCCACCAAGCCTCCATTAGCCTTCCGATATCTTGTTAATATACAAAAACCTTACATACTATTTTTCATTATAAAAACCATACAAATACATTATGGATCATTTTGTGGATTTACAAAGCATAAAGAAGAACATAAAAATAGCTGATAATTCCATCCTCCCCACCCCAGAGATCTACTGTCAACATGTGATGGTATTTCCTTCCAATCATTTTTTCTTTTTAATTCAATTTTATTTTTATCAAAGTAACATGGACCTTGATGTGGTCATTGCACACTGTATAAATGTACCCAAATATCATATTGTACTCCATAAATACATACAATTATTATGGGTTAATTTAGAAAAAATAAATTAAAAAAAGAGAAAATATAAAAAGAAAAAAAGTAATACGGGTACTTCAAAAAGTTCATGGAAAGATTCATATTATCTTTTAATTCTACTTTTCCATGAACTTTTTGAAGTACCCGTATTACTTTTTTTCTTTTTATATTTTCTCTTTTTTTAATTTATTTTTTCTAAATTAACCCATAATAATTGTATGTATTTATGGAGTACAATATGATATTTGGGTACATTTATACAGTGTGCAATGACCACATCAAGGTCCATGTTACTTTGATAAAAATAAAATTGAATTAAAAAGAAAAAATGATTGGAAGGAAATACCATCACATGTTGACAGTAAACCCTCAGTGTTGCCCCTGTACCGGACCGGGGACCGGCCATGGGATCGCAACCCTCGGTGTTGCTTCCGCACCTCGCTCAGCCAGCGAGCGGGAACCGGTCTGCATGTGGGATCCGAACCCTCGGGCGGGAGCACCGCCGCGCTTCCCAAACGGCGCACTATCCAGTGCGCCACCGGGCCGGCCCAGAGGCAACTGTTTTCAACTCATTTAGCTTTTCTTCTGATAATATTTAGCCTTGTAAGGGGCTCAAGGATCTGTAGAGAATCATTGCAATTATAAATGAATGAACATTAATAAAGAACAAAATTCATGCTCATTTCGCTATTTGTCTCTTTGGGTATCTAACTCTCATTATTCTTATTCTGTTTGACTGATAGAATAAAACCAAAATTAGAAGTATGTTAGAGTTGTCCCTTGGTGTTCATAGGGCATGGGTCTGAGGACCCCCCATGAATACCAAAATCTGTGAATACTCAAATCCCTTATATAAAACAGCATTGCACATAACCTGCACACATCCTCCTGTATACTTTAAATTATCTCTAGATTACTTGTAATACCTAATACAATATAATGCTATGTAAAGAGTGTTATACTGTATTGTTTTTTTACTTATATTATATTTTATTGTTGTATTGTTATTTTTTACAATATTTTTGACCCATAGTTGATTGAATCCACGGATGCAGAAGCCATGGATGTGAAGGGCCAACTGTATTTTAGAAGCTACTTACCTAGCACTTACTGGGTGCTGTGTGGCAAGATACTTTCAACAATCCATGAGCTGGATACTATGATTATTCCCATTATACAGAGGAGAAAATTGAGCCTTTGAAAGTTAACAGGCACCCAAAGTCAAACAGTAAGCAAGTAAAAAAAGAACATTAGTACAAAGATGTGGCATACCGATAAGTACTGGGAAGGAAAAATAAGGCAGGGTTGGGGACAGAGAGATGAGGTGGAGAGTGCTGGTGTGGCTATTTTGTGGAGCGTGGACAGGGAATTGTTTCGAAAAGAGTTAACATTGCAACAGGGACCTGTAAGATGACAAGGGACCAGACACTGAAGACACAGGTTGGGGCTTCCAAGCCATGGAAAGAACAGATGTGAAGGCCCTGGGTGCGAATGAGCCTCGCTCATGGGAGGCTCATGTGACTGAAGGCTCCTGTGACTGAAGAGGAGTGAGCAGGAGGACCAGTAAGACAAGAAGCCTTCTGAGTGTCTAGGGCAGTTTCGGGGGGAATAGAAGAGGGCAGCGAGGCCAGGTAAGAAGTTATTGCACCGGGGAGAGGAAGAGACCACTGTCTTCCTGGTTTGAATGGGTGGTGCTGGTGGTGAAAAATGAGGTGACTTGGCATCGACGCTGGAGGATTTGCTAATGACTTGGCTATTGGGTGTGGGGGAAGGAATCCAGCCTCACCCCAGTGCTCCTGATGTGAACAACAGGGGACTGGAGGTGCCACGTACAGAGACGGGGAGCAAAGGGAGAGAAGCAGCTTTAGGAGGTGAAACCCTCTGGGACATGTTGGGTTAGAGACACCTGTTAGACATGAAAGAAAAGATACAGAACAAAGCAGAATCTGCAAATCAGGATCTCAGGTGTGATGTCAGGTCTGGAGATAAAAGTTTGGAGTTTAGCATGTAGACATTATCCAAAGAAAAGAGAATGAATGGAAACCTCATAAGTGAATGCAAACAAAGGAAAGCAGAAGGCAGAGGCTGTGAGGCCTGGGACGCTCTAATGTTTAGAGGGTGTGAAGAGTAGGAGGAGCTTCAAAGGAGGCAGGGGAGGAAGAGAACGAGCTGGGAGGAGACCGACCGGATGGTGAGGGGGACCAAGACCTCACCACTGGTCTTGGGAAGATGGGGGCCACCAGGACTGGGACAAAGTGATTTCTGTGGTCAGGCTGGTGACTGTCTAAGCCAAGTGGGCTCAGGAGATCATGAGAATCGATGAAGGGCAGACAGTGAGTACAAACAGCCTTTGGCAAAGTTTTATTACAAAGGGGAGCAAAGAAATGGGACTAGAGGAGAGTGGGGGATCAAGAGATGTTTTAATAGATCATCTGGAAGATAATTTGTGTGCTGAAGGAATGACTCAACACAGAGGAGGAAGAAATCAGCAAAGTAGGAGAGAAAGGGGAAAATTGCAGGAGGAAAGTTCTCAAGACAGGAAGGGCTGATAGGATGCAGTGACCAATAGGGTCATTGGCCATGGGGACAGGAGGGAGCACAGGCAGGCTGTCCAGTCACAGACACACGGGGAGGTGGGTAGACTTGGGGACAGGAAGATGAGGACATTGTCTTGTTTTCTCAGGGAAAATGGGAAGTGAGGGCTGGAGTTTAGAGGGAAGAAGGGAAGGGGAGGGAGAAGAGACGTGCTGTGTGGTTCTCAAGGTGGGAAGGAGCAGGCGGGCTACGGCCAGGGGGATGGGTGGCCAGAGGGCTGAGCCACTACCTGAGGTGTGTGGCAATAAACTTAAAATGAGATGACTTATCAGCACAGTCATTTGCTTTTCTCCAGCCGTGTTCAGGTGCCCTAGGGCAGGCGTGGAGGGGGCAGAGTTGAGTGATGGTTGTCAGGCAAGTAAGTTGGATGGAGACGGGGACATGGGATGGGAGCCCATGCCAGAGGGAGGAGATGGAGACTGGACCAGAGATCCTGAAAGGGTCGTAGACGGTGGGTGGGGCTACTTCACAGATGATGGGGGTGTTCTTGAGGGAGGAGACAGGAAAACTTCTGGGAACAGCGAGAAGGAGCAAGGTCACCTACCCCACCTCCAGGGGCAGTGACACAGGGGTTGGGGGCGTGGATGGGAAATGAAACAGCCACTGCTTGAGAGGGCTGGGAGGGGGGAGCAGTGTCCTCAGGGTCACTGAGTGCGAGATAGAGCAAGAAGGTCAAAAAGAGAGGAAGTGAGTAAAAGTGAGTAATGGATACAGGGGATTTTACTGCTAGCAGATTATGGGGTGGAATATTGGGGAGATAACTGGCTGTTCAGAGCTCTGAGGGATGAATCCAGGTAATGAGGGATGACCCATTAATTGGTGGCAACAGGAAATAAGGTGTAGATGTCTCCTGGGGAAAAGTGGGCATGTGTCAAGGTAAGGGGGAGCTATCGCGGCAGGAGGAGGGAATGTCTCCACTGGAATTCTGTGTGTTTCTCTTAAATCCTCCGGAGGGTGGTGGCAAGGACAAGAGAGGAACAGTCTTACCAAAAACATGTGCAGGCTGGAAAATATTTCAAACGTACATGTACCCATTACTCATGTATAGGACGATTCTAAAAATTGTTTAAAAAAAGATTCCTCCCTGTTTTGGAAGGGAATGCTTTGTTGGCAGCTAATATCCTAAGTACAACCAACTGGGGGCAGATCATTTTGTGTTTGTCTCATTTGCAACTTAGAAGGTGTATGCTGGAGATCCAAGCAGTGGCTCAGGACACTGCTTTAATTAAAACCTGGGCTTCTTTGGTCATGAGTGATGATATTCTGTATGTCATTAAAGACGAGCAAGCTATTTTACAATATGAATATTGGCTAATATTTGATATGTTCTAAGACCTAGGGAGACACTACACACAAATGTGGCACAACTCTAGATCTGGTTGTCCTTGGTGAGACATCAGTGATGACTCAGCATCACTGCCTTAC